ATAAGCTGTTGACCTATTCAAATTTAAAGGCCCGTTTGGTTGGGCTTCCCCAGATTCTTTTTCTAAGAAGTGGTAAACCAAATAAGCCCATAAGAGAGGGATGCAAAAGGATCCACCCCAAGGTCCCGTCACTTGCAGGCGCAACTGTGCATTGTCTGATCAATGCTCATGAAGTGCTGATTTGAAGTTGTTTTTTTGATGCATCCTTTCACACGTTTTGAGTATCGTCCGGAAATAGAGTTGTTGGTTGATACGCTAGAAATACGCATAAGAATGAGCGACTAATGGCACTAAATAACAAACACCATACACTCCATTTGATTTGTTGTTGTTTTTTTTTTTTTCATTTTTTTTTTAATTTTTGAGGGTTTAAAAGAATTTATCAAAAAAATCCCTTGTTTCGACAAATAAAAAAGAATGTTTATGAGTTTGATTTAATTTTATAAATTAAAAGGGAGGAATGGACATAGACCATATATGATTACTAGTTTGTTTAAACCAATGGATAACTAAGCAATATGTTTTAATTGTTAAATAAATATACATATAACAGTAATAATTAAAACATATTAGCCAGTTATTTGCCAAAATAGATGAATGATATATAAAAAATACACTAATGTAGCAAATTACACAGCCATGGCATAAACAGAAATGCATATACCATGACTATGGTTTACATTGAAGGAAATATGATGATAGAAATAGCTAGCCAAGGCGGTGCTCCTGCCAGATTCTTTCATGTAGTAGTCCTCAAGATCCCATTTCCTGTGTGCAAATCAAATCTCTCTAGGAAAATAATATGATTCCTATCTCCCTACTCTTCCTCTCTAAAAATTTTGCCCTCTGGTGTGCATCCAATTCACTCCACACCAAAAACAAATAACTGGACAACTCCCTTTACAAGCCCTCTCTTCATTTGCATATACCAAATCCCCAAATTTCTACTTATTGATGAGAAGGTTTTCTTTTGAAGTCTGCTTGAATGGAATTGAAGAAAACTAATTCTCAGGGAGCTTAGGGAACCACAGAGAGATCCTTCCCAGCTCATGAGCTAAACATATTAGGCAGTGGTAACAGCAAGGAAGCAACTAACAAAGTTATTCAATCTTGTAGCTAGTGTTGTGAAGAGGAAGTGGAGACCATGATAGAAGAATAAGCATAAAGAACCATGACTGTCAAGCTTATTTCAGTAGTTATATAATAAAAGGTTTGAGTGTAGCAATTCTGTGCAAGAATAAGATTGTATAGTTGGTAAACGAATTCAACGTTTCTTTTCCAAATAATCAAATTCCTTAAAGTTTAATGCATATACATAGTACATAATACCTAGTTTAGGTCAATAAACAATTGTCAACCTAGGAGCATTAAACTTTGAAACTTAATCTTCAAACGCAATAAAAAATGGCAATGAGGATTAAATATGATATGGGAAATAACCGGGTTCAATCTTCAACCTTCTTTATTGCTCCATTGTTTTGCAGCATAGCTGTTGAGGGTACTATTGGGATTAGCTTTGCATGCAACAATAGTTCTTGGTCAATTTAGAGAGATATTTTACCAGTTTCTTGACTTAAATATTAAAGGAAGAGAAACCAGAACTCCTCATAGATTTTGAAAGCACAATAGAATGGTTTGGCAACCATAAGCAGAAGACCATTTGTCCTGCTACAACATTAAGATGAGTTTTTCAGTACAGAAGATATCAAAAGGACTCTAATTAATAAACATTTATATAAAAAATTTCCACTACCAATGATCCCTTGGTTCAGTAGTAAAGCTACGCTATGAAAAATAAAAATATGTTACAATTCTAATATCCGCCAAGGCAATAGGTTCAAACACTTCAATATAACAGAAGCAAGTAGAGGTTTCTTTTCCCAATCTTATTCTCATGTTGTTAAGAGCAAATGGTTTAACTGAAAACCAATATACTTGCTTAATTTGATACCTGAAGAATATCAAGGCAAATGTTCCCAAACTGATCAACATTTGGATGGAAGCACATGGTTTCAAACCTCACTTGAGGTGGCTTGAAAGGGAAGTCCAATGGGAATCACAGGGAAAGTTTGTATGAAAAACCCTCATACATAGTTCCCTTTCCACCTTTGGTTGTGCCAACCCATGTCAAAATGCTCTCTCCTTCAGAAAATGCTAACACTCCAGATCTCCGCCACTCATCTACATAAGAAGACAATCAACTATTAAGTGAAACTGTAGTTCAAATGGAACTAATAACCAAGGCTTTTCCTACAAGGGAGTTTATGTACTGTGTATAGTTGCTAAGTCATATTAAGCACCTAAATGCTTTAACAAACATGGTCCCAACTCCTAATAATTAATTTCAATAATTTTTTGAAGGATGACATAAACATATTTGGAACTAGGAAGCACTCCTCTTACATTATGAGTTATAACCATGAGCCGCCCCTTGACTTGAACTCAAGTAAGTCATATTCCATCAACAAATAAATACTCACTCTTGACTACCAATCACACTACTTAGAAATGAGAGAATGAATTCTAGTCAATAACACAAACTTCCCCATCTTAAATAAAAAATCCACATGCCTGCTGCTGAATGTGCATTAGGGTTCAAATGCACCACTATTTAGTGACATGCAGCTCAATAAAATTTACATAAGTAAAGAAATATGTTTAGCTGATTGCATGAATGGTTGATTTGCAAAACTCAGTAAAAGAAAAAGAAACATTTTTTAACAGGAGAAATTTAACATGCAGATGCACATTAACACATTCAGAGCAAGTTTGATAATCAATTGAGTTGATCTGAAGACATAATTAAGCACCATTAAAAAAATGATTTCTCAAGAAATTGCAGATGTAGTAAAAAAACAAAAATTTCACCTCTTTTCCATTTATCATAGCATAATCTTAGCGTAGCATCTCCCTCCAAGCTTTCCCTCCTCCCCCACTCCCTTGTTGCTGTGTGGAATTTGCCCTAATCCAAAAATTAAAAACAGTTCTGGAAGTCCATGATCCATGACAATTACAGGACTGCAGGCAAGAAGGGATTTAAATATTCATACAACCAATTAATTGATTAGCAAATACCACTGGATATGTGTTTCTAACTATGAGAAGATTTGTCATGATTCCTGATAGGGGGTATTGTTTCAGTGTTATGAAATTTAGTTACAGTGATTTGTTATTGCCTAAGAACTCACACATATTGCTCAATTGTTTGATGGAAGAAGATAAACACACAATTCATGGAAAGAAAAATAATATAAAGCAACCACCTGAGAAAAAATATATAAAAATTATAATAACCAAAACAACCAAAGTTTTTTGGAAAATAAAAAGGAATAAATGTCCCTTTAGTCAGAAGTTAAAAGTAATGAAGATCCACAAACAAAGAGCTCAAACCAAAAATATGCATCACTGCAAGCAATCATCATAATTACTATATCTATGCAGTGCAAATATTTCTACCTTAATTGGAAAAACAAACGCAAGAAATAAATAAATAAAAAGAATCTAGGAAATTTTCTAAATTATCATGGTTCGTGACAATGGAGCTCATTTAGCTCTAGATGCATACATGAACTGCAGATCCAATTTAATTAAAAAATAGGCCTCAGATATATCGGAATCGATTAGTTGATATACCATTATAGTTACATAGGCTTATTTAGTTGAAGCTCACACTCTGTGCTTGATAAGACAATAAACCCACTTCTAAACTCTTGTTACTTCAGTAGCCTTAGTCTAACACCTTAATTTCTTTTTCTAGTTCTTCTACCTTAAAAGCAACAGATACAACCAAAGCAACGAGATGAGAGAAGAAAAATGTAGAGCAATCCAAAGTAAGATTCCAAATAATTGACAATAGGCACATCATTCAAAATACCTTCTAAACTCATCATTTTCCTCCTCTCCAGCACCATGGATCATTATTAAACATCAAAGAATTCCTTTAAAAAAGCAAAAAAATTTAGCTGGTAACAACCACTTTGACCAAAAAATCCACTTGACATAGATCAATGAGCAAAAGCAAAATGAAGGCAAGCTAATAAGTTCTCATAACTCTACATTCTACATCTATATGAATGATCAATTTAGACTTGCAAATTTATAAATGTATATCAAATTGAATTGTCAATTTATCATATAATTTGTATGAAAACACCAACGAAAAGCTAATGAAAAAATGAAAAAAATCAAAATACCACAACTTCAATGCCAGATATTTCACCCCAAACTCAATGGAATCATCAATCTCAAGAAGTTAATGGAAGGCCAAAAACAAAAAAAGAAAAAAAGAAAAAAAAAAAAGAACTTTAACATTACAAAAGCTACTAAAACATTGTCACTCCTTTGCACCAATTCTAAATAGATCAAAAAAGAAATCAATTGGATTAAGAAAAATGAAGAAACCCTAAAAAGAAGAATGCAAAACTCACATGTGAGAGTTGACTGAAGTTCTAGCAAGTTTAGTTGCCGGATTTCCTCTCTCTATTGTCTTCTCCTTTCTGCCTTCTTGTTGATTATGAACACTAGCTAACCCAATTGATTCCCTTGCTCACTCATCCTGTTTCCCCTGCTGTCCATTTTGAAAGCCATAAGCCACCAGATGGATTCTAGTGGCAAAATGAAGCCATGCCAAGGATGATTATTCAATGACTGATTAAGAAATATGCAGTACAGTAATAAGAGAAAGAGGTATAGGTGTGACATTCTGGTAGTTACAAAGGAGAATGCATTTAACCATATCCTCAAACAAAGTTGGGGATCTGAACACTTTCCCACTGAACCTCCACAAGCATTCTACTTCTTCTACTTTAATTGCTTCAACAATCTTTTGAAACTCATTCACCTTCTTCTCCTCACTGTCTGACAAACAGAGCATCCTTTTCACTTAACCCTGTTAGAAGATAATCCTACTTAAATCAATGCAATCAAACTAATGCAAAGAGGATGGAGCAGAAAAGACTCCTTCATGACTTGGATGGAGGGTTCAATCATTAAGGAATTGGTAATAGTGATACCACCTCTCTGCAACGAACCTCAAAACATGAAGACTACTTGTACAATTCCAATGAACCTCACCTCGTGGATTGGAAGAAGGGTTCAATAATTAAGAAATCCACACCCTTAGCTTCTACTTTAGTCCTGCATCGTGTTTTTCTTCCAACTTCAACAACCTCAAAACTTGAAGACTGCCGGTGCAATTCCAACTGAAGCTCACAAAGTGCCTTAGCAACACGCAAAGTGGACCTTCCCCTTTCCCCTATTTCTAAGAGGATTATTCAGTTGCAAACTAAAATGAAGAATCCATAATTGCATACAAACTACTTTAGAAGTAAGAACACAGTTCAAAAAAAGGTCATGACAGAGAAAGTAAAGGAAGTTGAACAAAGGCAGTCAGGAAATCGGTACAACACCTGTTTAGAGAAACCTCAAACCTGACAATTTAAGCAGAGTCAGTCTCATGATCTCTGTGAAACATGATTCTGAAGCTCAAGTGATTGTTGATAAAGTACTTTTCCTCCTTGCTCTGTAAACACAAATAAATGGTTAAGAAGACAACAGCATTAAACTTCTATATGGACACAGATCTTTAAAAAGCATTATTTAAAAAAAATAATAATAAAAAGGGAACCCAAAGAACTGATTGTACTAAATATGAAAATGAATGGAGATTGTCTTTCAATTGCTTTTATCAAGAATGACTTAAAATTTCTACATTTTCACAGCCTGTGCTTTGTTAGAATAGTTATACAGAATTATTCCTTCCAAACTTTGACTTTTTTTTTCTTTCGCTATCACTGAACAATAGATATTGTCATTAAGCAAGACAACAAATTCTAGAACAGAAAAAGAAAATAAAAAAAAGGAGTATGTTTATGAGTCCTCTGCATAAACCCTACCATTATACTGCCTTTGCCACAATGCATTGCATTAATAATTAATATGGAAAAAGAAAGAGTTGATAGGATACAACAGGCCAAAAAAAAAAAAAAAAAGGAAACCAATCAGCCACAAATGCTAAATCTCAGTGAAGGTTTTGAAAGTTAGGATTATGACTAAAACCAAAAAGTATAGTAAAATAATCACCAACTGTTAGTCAGACTAGAATTTTATTATATGTTGAATCCAAGACCATATTCACTCGCACTTGTGACTTTAGCATAAAAATAAATTCACTACAAACCTCTTGATTGATTGCAACCATATTCATTTGCATCCATGATCTCTCCAGGGTAGACTTGTCTCTATAAGAAAAAAAAAAAACACACCCTCATGTTTGAGTCTAAGGGAACAGACATTTTTGTAAGGAATATTTTGAAAAGAAACAACCATTATATCATTAATGAACTCAACTTGAATTTGTAGATAAATTGTAAAAAAAAAGATATCGATAAGCTACAACCCTTGGCAAAATGAATATAGCAATATTAACAGAATTAATCATCAAATATGAAACCCCCTAGTGACACACTTCATCTAAGCCTCATATTCCATGATTCAAAAGAAGCTGAAGAAAAGTAGATCTGGTCACTCAATCAGTACTTATAATTTCTGGTGCTCTATCAATTAACTAAAAAAGTCTAGAGTACCTTAAATTCTTCCATTTAAATCTTAAAATTGTAATTAATTTGAGTAAAATCACATACTCCAAATAGTATAAAAATCCCCCAAAAAAATTTAAAAGAGTATCATATGAAAACTGCATTTTTGTTTGCCATTGTGCCTTCCCTAGCAAACTTTAATAAGGGCAGATTGTCCCAACAAAGAAATCAGATATTAAAAAAAAATCATAAAAAAAGGCAAGAAACAAAAATAGGGAAAAAAAACACCCAAAGAAATTAATACAAGAAGAATGAAGTGGAAAAAAAGAACAAAACATTAGCTCACCAAAAACCAAAGTAGAAGAGATGAGAAATTAATAAAAGAAGAATGAAGATGAAAAAAAAGAACAA